TATTTTTACAGCCAACCTCTAAGGAAGATAATAGTTTTTTTTTTTTGATGAAAAAATATAAACCCATGACTAGATAGTGCTTTTTTAAAACAAATTCAAGATAGTTTATGCCTCTAAAAACATGAAATTTGTTATAGTTTCTCTTTAAACTTTTGAGAAAGTTTCTCTCTTTAAATTTTTTTAAGATAGTTTCTCTTTCTAAAAATTTGAAATTTGAGATAATCTCTCTTTAAAAATTTTGATATAGTTCCTCTCTTGAAAATTTCAAATCTCAAATTTTTAGAGAGAGATTTGTGGGGTTTATGCATACAAGTATTGTTGTCCAAGACAGCTATTTCCTTCCTTGTTGGTGGCCACAAAATAAGTAATAATTGGGTTAGTTGTATGGTTTAAAAAGTACTGAGGAACCATGCCTAAAAAGTATTGTCCATGGGGATAAATATACTTTTCCCCTTTAATTAAGAGATGCCACTTTCTAAGCTTTAGGTTTTAACATTTGCTCTTTTATTTTGCCTCTTCAGTGAAAAAGTTATCACTCTTTTTTTTTTTCTTTTTTTTTTAAGTTACTATTTTAAAATTATGATTCTCTAAAATACATGTATTTTATAATACCCATTGTAAAACACATTAAATTTTTGTGTCACAGACACTAATATATCAAATAATTTATTTATAAGAAATCATTGATAACATTGATGTCCAGTAAAAGAGTATTTCAACAAAAAAAAAAAAGTAGGTTCAAACCCTACCACCAATCTGGCTAAGAATTTTTTTTTGATATTTCTAGTTCTAGAACTAAGCAACTCCACTCTTGATGTATTTAATAAGGAAAAGTATGTAAAGAGACTATTCATTTTTGTTATAATGAGGTTGCGATCACTCTTATCCATCAGTTTTTTTTTTCAAATTGTGTGGTTCTGAATGTGTCATTAACTAGATTCAAAGTACATAAAAAATTCCTCAAACTTTGCAGCACACCTCAAGCCGTCCAATTTGAATTCGCATGGCTAGGATATTTATGACCTCCTTGCAACAAAGATAAATTTGGTCTCATAATATACAATCCCATTTAATAAAGGGGTGAGGTTTTGAGTTATTTAGATGATAATAGAATTTATCTATGATATCTCTTTATTTACTCAATCCCTTTTTTAGCCTTCCCCTTCATCCCTTTATTTGAAATGAAGGATGAGGTAAATGGTCTCATAGAGCCTTCACTCTCTATTATCATATTTTTAGCCTTCTTCCTCATCTCTTTATTAAAGGGCTCAAAAGGGATTATTATTTTGAGTTATCCAGATGATAGTAGTCCTTCCTCTCTCCTCTGTGTCTGTCCCTAAAACCGGGAGGGGGAGGGGGTTGGAAGGGATATTTATAGGCCAAGTTGGGTTGTATAAGTGAGGTTGTGAGTGATTCCATGCGGCTATGCCGCATAACTGCAAATCGACATCATCCATGTTGTGTAGGGCAGTCAGGCTTGTCTGGGTATCCAGGTGATAACTTCTCAACAGTCAGATTGAGGTGAAATTCAGAACATTGCAAAGATCTTTTGATTTCTTACACAATGATCTAGGTTTGGGTAGAAATTGGGTTTGTTTTCCTAAGGAAAAAAACCCCAGTAAAATTAGGGTATAGGTATGGATTGTAGTGATCATGCAGTGGTCCTACAGTTTTCAGGTAAGCTTCTATGGCTTGACGTGTCTTTGTATGCAGTCTAGTCTTGTGACGAAAAGCAACATCCGAATCGGTCAGGAATATAAGCCCAAACTCAAGGGTCTATAATTACATTAGCCTCGACCAACATTGGGGGATAGGCGAGGCTGATGCAACGTGATAGACGGATGTGCATGCACATGTGAGCTAGTGACAAAGATGGTTGGTGGGAAGCCTTGCACAGATGATGTAGAGTTAATGGGACTCGGTAGGCCATCTTAACCAACATATTGAGGCTTGGTTGGTTAAACCTTGTGCCGTCTGACCTGACCTGATGGGTGGGCATGGACCACATACAAGAGGTAGCTAACTATAAACCTAATAGGGCATATACATTGAAAATAATGGTGAAGTGCACGAGTTTGGACTAAGAAATGCATAATTGCCCCAGGCGTGGGCTAGGACAATAATCCAGGGCTTATGAGGGAGGATGAGTGCACATCTATGGGGCTGTTAAGGGTTGTATTATGAACCTACATATTTGAATTGACATACATGGGCACTAATGACCCACGTAATGGGTTGACTAACTCACCTTTAATGGGACATGTGGATGGTCATTCATGCTGAGATATGAACTGGTGTGACAGCCATACCAGGTAGTTGACAATAATGATAATGTAGTCACTAATGACATGTAAAAGTAGAGGAGCTGTGTCTTTGTATATTGGGAGCCATATAAACCCTTAACTTCTGCTCTAGAGAGGCAACCACTCCTCTTTGGCTGATTTGCCGCTTCCCTTTGGTTGATCTGAATCGAATTTTTGAGAGAACACCACTGGAAGAAAATTTCTTTCAAATTAAAAAATTCTAAGAACCATGTGGAAACCATGGTATTTGATTCATCACCGTCCATCATCTCATTTGTGGAACGGTTATGAGAGTGGGGTGGGATCGATGGATCTAGGTTACCCAGAAGCGGATCAATGTCCATATAATATTAAATCTAAGGAACTTGATCCCTGTGTTCTAGGGACCACACTCTGTAATTAGAAAGGATCGAGTTCCCCAATTAGATAGGAATATCACCACAGCCGCCTAGCCACTATGAGCTCTTTATATGCCTTCTTAATGATAGCTTCAACTTTGTATAGTTCTCTAGCTTGTACAATTGTATACTAATACAACTAGCTATCTATATATGATCCATTCGCTAAAAGAACTGATTGAGGGGAATGAAATTCAAATTCATATACCATTAAAAGTTAAGGAACTTGATCCTTGTGTTCTAGGGATCAAGATCCGAAATTGTAAAAAACGAGATTAGTAGAAGATCCTTTTCCAAGAATTTAGGATTGATCTTCCGAAAAGAACTAGCTTACTAAAGTAGGCAATCTTGGTAACTGTGGCCCTTACCACTATAATGGGTGAGACATGCAAGTGTTGAGTAGAGACTGTGCCTTGCATATGTGTGAGAGAGATAGAGAGGGGGACAAAACATGAGAATGAGTAAATACTTATACATATCATAGACGGTTG